CATTTCATCTACCACTCTAAACAATCATCATGAACAATGCACACGAAAATGCCAATCCGAATAGCTGAAACAAAAAAAATATGTTACGGTAATTTAAAAAACTTTTTACTCGTAATTAATTTATTTCTTATAAAAGAATAGTAGAAGCATCAGCATCATTATAACATTCACATTATTTCTAAATATACGATTTTTTTTTCAAAAAATCATAACTATAAGATTCAGTCTTTTTCGATAAACCTTCATCACATTTGTCATAAATCGGTGACAAATTCGTCTGATTAAACTAATTATTATGTACCTATTTCTTGAGTTTAGGTACTTACCTATAACCAATCAAACATAAATGTGTCCACTTTGCCCCGCACGTTTGCCTATAATATGTGACGTGTTGAAACATGTAAACATACATATTGCATAACTAAAACGACTCTAAGATCTGAGTCTATGTCTTTGATACGCGGTCAAAAGGAGTTAAGTCATGTTTTTTTTAAATCATGTTTTGACACCTTTATATACGAAAAAAAATCTAAATTTTTGCTACAAACAAGTGGACGGTTTTTGTGAAAAGGGAATCAAGTCACTTTTTGGACATTTTGATATTATACATGAAAATTGAAGGAAATTTCAAGCCAGATCTAGTGGTAACACTGTCATTAACATGTTACCAGTATTTTTATTATGTATTACAGTGCGCGTTTAGTGTCAAGTCAAAAATAAATATTTTTTTTGTGAGAAAGGTCTCAAGTCACATATTTTTTTCTATTTTTCAATGTGTTGATATATAATGTGGTTAAAATCTTTAAGTGTACATTAGTATAGCAATTAAAAATGTCGAATAGAATTAAGACGATGTTGAAGATGGCACGAAACAGTAAGTTACTTATTTTGAGTAATTTTAAGTGTACTTTTAATGATTTTATGTTTCATTTTTATTTTTTTCAGATGTCAACGTCACAACGGATAGAAAACTTCTAAAGCCGGTTGTTTGCAGAAACTTAGGTGATACATTTCTTTTGCAAACAGACAACAATAATACCAATAATTTGAAAAACTATTTAGTAGTGAGTACCTATACTTATTTATTAGACATGCTTACATATTACATAGTAAAAATAGTAATAATGTTATATCATAACATAAGTAGTGAATTTAACAAAATATATTTTATATACCTACCTAGTTTATTAAAAACAGTTGAAAACAAATGGTGTTATAGTTAATAATATGTTAAATTAATTATATATTACATAACCATAATAAAAAAACCCACCAACATAGATTTACCTACTTAAGATTTTAATTTAATTAACTGTAGTATAACAAATTAAAAAATATAAATAATAGAAGTATTTTTATCCTTAGGAATGGGTAAATAAATCAGATCCGTCGTATGGGCTATCAGACAATGATTATCCATCTTATGATGTCAATGATGTTACAAATGAAAAACATAATTTTGAAGTAATTTCTTAAGCAGTTTATTCATAGTATACCTATTTTAATGTATACGTTATTTTATAGAGTGAATTAACTTTAACAAATCTAGTAGGTAATAAAGTAATATTTTTGTATTTGTGTTTACAGGGTAATGTAACTAGTTGTGCTTATAATAATAGCAAAAAAGAAACTTGTATTACATTAAACAACATCAACTACACACTTGAATTTAGCAATGACACCCAAAATTATAATCAAATTACTGTGGAAAATAATAACTTTAATGATAAAGACAATGTTTTTAACATTATAGAAAACGCAAAACAAGTAAATATATTTCTAGTAAAACATTTTTATTAAAATTAATGTAACATTTTTTTCCTATTACCTATAATAGGTAAATCATGATGACATTTATGGCAAATCAAGTGTTATTTTGGGAACACCTGTATCGTCTGTAGAAAACCCAACGGCTATGGAACAGGTATGCATATAATGTTCAATTGTATATTATATATTTTTATAAAAAAAAAAAATGTTTATTTAATATAAACAGGATAATGATGACATCAATGACGAACCAAGTGTAATTTTGGGTACATCTGTTTCATCTTTAGACAGTCTTATACCTATGGAACAGGTATACATAGAACATATTATATACTATATGTGCCATTTTGGTTAAATATTTTAATATAATAATTTTTATTTAATATAAATAGGATAATTATGACATCAATGGCGAACCAAGTGTAATTTTGGGTACAGCTGAATCATTAGTTGGGAGTCTTGAAGTACATCTAAATACAAATAATCAAAATAAAAGAAAGTCTAGAGTAAGCTTGAAAGGTGATACCAGACAATTCAGAATTTATCGAAATCAAAAAAGAAATACTGGTTTGGAATATACGACTAATACAGGGAAAACAGTCAAACCCCGAGCATCTAAAATACTTCTAGATTGTAAAGCCAAATGTAAAAGTAAAATACAAGATGATTTACGTGAGCAATTGTTTAACATGTATTGGGCCATGGGTAGTTTTAATAGACGAACCTCTTATATGTCTAAACTTATTACATGTTGTCCTAAGAAAAGTTGTAGAAAAAGAAGGGATACACCAGAAAAACAAAAACCAAAGGAAAAGACATATAAATACTATGTACCAAGAGATGGTGATTTAATACAGGTATGTAAAGGTTGTTTTATGAGAATATTTTGTGAAAGTACTAAGTTTTTAAGAAATATTTGTACTAATATGCTAAATTCACCTGCACAACGATGCTCTCCAGATAAAAGAGGTTGTGCACCACCTGGAAACAAACGCTGTCAAGATAGTATTAATTTATTGATTAACCATATTAACTCACTCCCTAGTTACGAAAGTCATTATTGTAGAAAGGAGACCTCTAAAAAGTATTTACCAAGTCACTTTACATTGCAACGAGCTTATGAGGAATACAAAATAAGTGTAGAAAAGCCAGTTAGTCGAACACTATATGAAAAATATTTTAAAGCTGCAGGGTTGAAAGTTAAAAACCCCAAGAAGGATACATGTGCACAGTGTGACAAGTATAAAATCAAGCTTACTGATAATATTATAACAACCGATCAAAAGAATAAGATAATTGAAGATAAAATACAACATCAAAATGAAGCTGAGCAAGCCTATGAATCGAAAAGAAATGACATAGCCACTATGTCCACAGACCATTGTGTTTTGTCATTTGATTTACAACAGTGTCTGCCGACCCCCTCATTAGAAAGCTCTGTTGCATTTTATAAACGCCAATTATGGACCTATAACTTAACTGTGCACAATTGTGCCTCATCTAAAGCAACATGCTATATTTGGTATGAAACTTTAGCCAAACGAGGGGCTAATGAAATTGGTTCATGTGTATACAACTATTTATCTAATTTACCAAAAAATATTACTCATGTAACCATGTACAGTGATTGCTGCCCTGGGCAAAATAAAAACAGCATCCTCATGGCTATGTGTCTGTTTTTTTTGGATCAACAGGAAACTATTGAAACAATTGATCATAAATTTATGGTGCCGGGCCACTCAAGAATGGAGTGTGACTCGGATCACGCTAAAATTGAAAAAGCTCGGAAAACATTTCCTTCATCTATTAATCATCCATATGATTGGATGCAATTAATTAGATTTGCAGGAAAAAATAAGTTTTTGGTAGTAGAAATGGTGCAAGAAATGTTTTTTGACTTCAACAAATTATTGAAAAAATCTTATCAAATGAAGAAAACCAATGAAAATAAAGAAAAATTTGTTTTTCGAGATGTTAAGTGGATTCGGTACATTAAAAACGAAAAAGGTATAGTATTTTATAAGACTTCCCTTGGTTTAAATGCGAAATTCCTCAAATTGAACTTAAACAGGAAAAATGCAACTTCAATGGAAATTGAAAGAGCATACTATGATATGTTATGTATAACTGAAGAAAAAAAAAAGGATCTTATGACATTATTGGCATTTATACCTGAAACATTTCATGATTTTTATAAAAGCCTGAAATCAAACATAGATATTAATGATCCTATAATATCTGATGAAGAAAATGAATAATGTAACTTCTGTACAATTTTATGTTATTTTATGTTATTTTAATATTTTGTTTTATTTTATCAAAGTGATTATTCTTTATACTAAAAGTTACTATTTATTTTATCTTAAAAGTAGTTGTTTATTTTTAAAAGTTTTATATTGTTAAAAATGTTATTGATATTATAATTAATAATAAATTATACCCAAAAGACATTATGATTTTAATAAAACCTAAAATCAGTCAAAAATATATTACCTACTAGTACTATATTCTTAATTATTATTATTATTTACTTATATTAAATTATATCATATACACTTTATTAGATAAATAAAATTAGGATCAACCTTTAGGTATTCAATTCCATTTTTAATATAATAATATTATGTACATTTCACATTTGCACATATTATTATTAAAATATTTTGTATTATTTGAGTTACTTTTCAGAGAGCTTAAACTATTATATGCAGTAATTAGTTATTTGTTTTATGGAAACTATAATGTATATATTGCAAAATAATGTATGTGTAATAAACAACTTTACTAAATTATAAAAAAAATTAAATTATTAATTATAGATTAATTTTTGTTGACTTGATCCCAATAGCACGAATATTATTGCATAATAACGACTTGATACTCTTTGCACTTAATGGTATCAAGTCGTAAAATACGATAAACGTTCGTGCTATTGGTATCAAGTCAACAAAAATAACTAAAAAATGGTTTTAAAGTATTTTTTTTTACATAATCATACAATTTATCAAAGTTATAAATAAAATTAATAGTTTCAATTTTTTTTTTATTTAAATGTAGAAGATGAAACGTTTTTGTTGTCTACTGAACAATTACTATTATTGACTTGATTCCCTTTTCACAAAAACCGTCCAAGTTAAGTCACCAAATAATCTGTGAATGTTATGTGTACTAAAGATATGTTTCAAATTTTAATTTCTATTAAGATCTTAAAGAGTTTAAATATTAAAATATTATATACGTACTAGAAACAGTGACACGGCTATACCAACAGTCCCGACAGTAGTCGCGTGGTCCTTCATGAAAGCAGTGGTCACGTTCAGACAGCCGGTATTGTATATCTGTAGGCTCGCTTGGAAACTCAGATTGCACGGTTGTTTCTATTAAAAAGTGCTCATGATTATGTCACCAGTTATATATGTGTATAATTATGATGAGAGAGGGCTAAAGAATGCATGTCCCCTTAACCATTTGAAGGAAAAACTTAAATTTTAAATAATTGTATTTCCTATTCGACTGCAGTGTGTATAATGTATAAATTGTATGTGAACTATATTTACTCAATCATTGAAAAGTTTCAAAATAGTGTAAACATTAAACAGGTTCCTATATGCTTAAATATTGTATGACACAATATTGTTTAAACGTTAAATATTTGATAAAAGTAAAAATTAGTTCTAAATCAGTAACAAAATGGAAAATTGTGTTAATCTTCACTGCACACATGCTAAATATTTAAATAAAGTACACAAATCGATGGTTAATCTCTGCAGATTTTATATTCGAATTGATAACGTATTGCGATTGTAATTATTGGTTTGGTTTTATATAACGATCAACAGTTGTTTATTGTCATCAAATAGTTGGGTGGTGACACAAAATAAATATAAAAACGGACACGCATATGAGCATATCTCTTGCTTATGTAGAATAAATTATAATAATTAAATTTTTATATTATTATTATAATCTATTTATTTTTGTAGAATTTAACATTGTTACTCTACAAAATTCTTAAATACAAATTACAATTTTAATACATGGTTACGTCTTACACTCTTACGTAATACGTTCACAGAAAAGTAGAAAATTTAAATCATGGAAGGACTCCAGTCCCTCAACCAGCTCACCACCCCCTCTCCTCGAAACTATAACATTATTTTATTTTTTCAATACGATTGTTAATTTTGAACTGCACATTTACATGATACACTATAATACACTCAATTCTCACCTTTCCGTTGATCTCTTGACAACAGCTGCTGGGAATGATTCCGCCAATCCTGTGCTGCCTCCAGTCATCGTAGCCCGTGACTCCACAACAATGTAGCTGAAACGAGAAAAAGGATATGAAATATGTCGTACACAAAAACGCCTTTAACGAAAACGTAGACGATGTTTATCCGATCTCGACTTACTCCTTCTTGGAGGTCGTCCTACGCTCTGGTTATGGCGCGGTCGTCGCCGTAAAACCTTATTGTCCTGAGCATCTCTTGTTGCATAGTCGTCTGTACCCTTTGCCTGAACACGTAACATAATATCCCTCCGACGAGCATCACGATGAATATAATGAACAGAATTATGAAATACTATAGGACAATACAACGAAAATAAATAAATAATTTCAATTGGTATATTATACTATAATATTGTAGACAGTACAATATACCAATATAACTACTATAGGCATTGATTAAATATGGCAGAATAAATTATGATCAGCGCAACCTATTGGCATGGCTCCCACACTACTAGATTTCTGGCTCCCATTTCACTTTATCAAGCGTTAACGAATTTTACTGTTACTTGGGCTATCTATGTATATTTAATCAATGCTATAGGTATATCAACAGTATCGACATATACTTTTGCAATTTATTCCGGTACTAGGGCCAGGGTTGGGCAGTATCTTAGATACAATTGTATCTTGTATCTTGTATCGCGATACATTTTTAAACTATGTATCGAGTATTTCACAAAATAATTTTGTCAAAAAATACTCGATACTTTAATGCGATACTTTGAAAAATTATTTTTACTCGTCTATCTACCAACCGCTACTGTTTGACTATGTTTTAGTATAATACTATAGTATTATGTGTAAAATATATTCGGGGTTGAATTTAAGTTTATAAATAAATTGCAGTACAACTTGTACGAAATGATTTTTCAACCTATTAGCCATATTAAGTTATATCTGTGTACTGTGATTATCTGTGACGCACCACACTACACGTTGAATGGAACTTTACGTCTTTAATATCTATAATTTATTTTTATTATTATTTATTCATGTAATTTAACAATTAACTAATTATAATATATTTATACTTAATTAATATTTGGAATTTAAAGTTAAATGCATTTGTCTAAATTCACAACCTACCTTATTGTGTATAAATTTAATAAATAAAAAAAATCCTATACGTCTTAGACTATTTTTTTCAAATGTATCAAGAGTATCGAGTATCTAAATATTTAAAATGTAAGTATCGAGTATCTAGTACCTAGTATCGCGATACTGACTTTTGAGTATCTTGCCCATCCCTGACTAGGGCTGGCTAAACCCCCTAAGATCATAAATGTTTCTAGCCCTCTTTAATTTTATGAAAATACCTCAATACAATTGTTGCTATCTACTTATAAGCAGAAGGGAAGGAGGACAGTAAAAAAAAAAACTACAGCTATTTTTTTAATAAAATTGGAAAAACTGACAAAAAAACCTAAATATTTACACAAAACCAGTTTTTGACAAAAAATTTGGTTTTTTCGTTTTAACTCAAAATTTAATTAAATATTCACCAAGTACATATTTATATTAGCATATAATATAATATATTATTCTAAGTTTATTTAAAAAATATTTTGGATCCTATTGATGTAAATTTTAAATGTTTTACTTTTATCAGTCTTTTTTCCAATGTAATATGTATGACAACTTTTTAGTTTGTGAGTAAAAAATCTAGAAAATTTAATACAAGGTTCCTTATACATTAATTTTAGATTTTGAGAGTAGTGATTTATGGTTTTATTTGTAACACAATAGGTCTATAGTAGAAAAAATATTTCGATCTTCAACTTTGATGGTGGTTATAGAAAATAGAAAATTGGATCTAGTTTTTACTTTTAGAAGTTTAAAATTGAATATTTCCAGTATTCTTCAAAATAATGAAGAAAAAAAGGAGATTCGTTCTCGACGGTATTTTTTACCATAATAGACCTAAAAAAAAAAATAAAAAAATAAAAAAATGCAAGGAAGTCGTTTTCAAGTCAATTACATGATAAATTCAAATATGTTTTCAGAAATTTTATCGGATAATAAGTTTTTATATTGTGATAAGCCAAAAATGAATATACTTTATAAAAAAAAAACAAGTTAAATTAATATTCGTGTAGTACGTTATTGACAAGTGCATATTAGACTGAAGGTAATAATCGAAAAACAAATGCCACACAAAAAAAGCCACTATATGTCTGAACGCGCCTCAATCATCACTTTCTGCGTACACATTACACGACCCACACACGTAATGTACATATAAAATTGCCTACATTTAACTCCTTAAAAACGGTCGGTATCAAATGTATAAACGGGAATCATTATGCAAAATCAGTTTTCAACGTTATCAATTTGGTTTTTGGTGTAACTCAAAAATAATAAACAAATAACCGTAGATACATGAAATGTATTAAAATGGATTAGAATATAGTATATGTTTAGGCGTTTAGCATTAAATATACATGATACAATTTTGAAAATATTTTAAAGATTGTTTAGCTGTGTAATATATAATCATTATAATCACATCGACATATTTGATTATTTTAGTTTTTTTTTCTATAAATATAAATTTTGTCAAAATTCGAACTTTAAATGCTTATGAAAAAAATTGTGCCTATGTATTTTAAATATTTTTCAACTGCTATTGTCTAGAAATAAAATTAATATATGTAACTAACTCGTATGGGTAAATAAACGATATGCCAATAAATCGATAATTTCAATAATTTACTAATGAACAAGAACATAGGTAATAATGTAATATATTATTTGAATTAGGTTTTTAATGTTACTACCTAGTAATTTACCTTTTTTGTATTAAATTTGTTAAACTTATCATCGGTCAATACGCCACGACCCGGGGTGATGTCATCTCTAGATATAACTGACCAACCATTAAAATAAATATTATAAAGTGTTATTATAGTGTTATTTTAAGTGTTATTATATTATTGGAATTTTTAAATCTGATTTGCGGTGCCACATAAGTTTTTATTTTTATTATTTTCAAAATCAAAAGGTGTGTGCGTCTTAATTATACGAGACTATTTTTCATACCGTCAGTAGCATGCACTTGACTTCTTTGACGGCTCCGGCGCACCCCAAAAATGACAGGAGTGACAGCAAAATGCCCGCCACGATTAATATATACACGGCACCTGTGAACAAGTTGGTGCCCAATAGCTCTTTGATGAACGACTTATCGTATAGCGTATACACTGATATGGCCACCAATACGATGCCTCCAATCTGAAAACAAATACAATTTAAATTTAAATATTTCCTATAGACTATAATCAAGTATATTAAAGTATTACATTATATATTATAATATAGATGTATAATTATTAGATTGTTTTTTTAATTTAATGAGGTGCAGTAGACAGATAGTATTATATAGGTATTTAGATATCAATATTAAAAAAAAAATATATTTATTTGTATAATAAACGCTGAAATTAATACTTTTCTAATTATGTTAATATTTAATTTCAGTTTTTTATAGAATTAAATATTTTTAATTAATTTTGGTGTAATTCAATTTTCGAGAGCTAATTCTAAATTTCATTTTTTTTTAATTACTACACAATAACGTGATATCAGAAATTATATCAATCAAAATCAAAATCAATAGGAATCTTTATTCAAATGTTTATCACTATTACAAACATTGTCTTCTTATTGTAGGTAATTTGAATTTTTATCAAAAAAATAATACATAATATTATCAAATTTAACTTTGGTCATACTTTAGAGTGTATAATAAAATACTATCCGAATGTAACACATTTATAGTTTGTTTAAAATCATTATTGTAATTTTTAACCAAAATTAATAATGAGTAACTTACAAATATGATAAAATTGGACAAAAACATGCTGTACTTGACGATGGATCCACACCACTCATCTTTAGAACCGAACCCCATTTTGGATTCCTGTTGAATTTAATAAATATAAAATCATTACACAATTATAAATATCTGTTATTGATGCAATCAAAATATATATATGACAATTAACATGACACAAATATATAAATTAGTAAATAAGTATAGGTATTCAATTAAGGAATATAATATAGTTAATTTTTGTTTGTGTACTTAGGTAGTTTAACCATACATAATTTCAATGTTTTATTTTAAAATATTATTCTCTATAATTTTTGTAATAGTTGCTGTTGATCTACAATTATTATTAAAAGGCAAAAACGATTTTATGTGAGTTTCACACGGATCCGATTGTCTGAGAGACAAAACAAATATTGCGCTGGCGTACCCTTAAGAATACATTTCAGTTGTCAGATTGTCACTTGTTACAGTGGAACACATTTGGTACATGTATTATGTATTAAAATGTTTACATCGCAGTTTTTTTACTTGTAGTACTAACCTAATTCTGGTCTTTGAGTAAAATTATGACCACTTATAAATTGTTCGATCAATATATAATATTATATAAACCATAGGTAGTCATTATTTTTTTAAATATATAATTTAATAAATTGTTTGCAACTGTTTCGAATAATGACTTTCTGTTATGAGGTCAATTACCTCGGCCCCAAGGTAAAAATATATAATTGAAAATTGTTTGATATTATGTTTAGGTTCATATTTATAATTCAAATATTTACTAAACTATACTTAATAGTTTATTGGGTTCATTAAAATTAATTAACTTCCCATAATTTTAAAAGGACTAGCAACATTTATATCATTTTTCAAAATGGTAGATACAAGTGATGATCTTAAAAAAGAGGTATGGTTAATTTTTAAAGTACTAAATATTATTCGACAAGGTTACAGCGATGTATATTTAATTTTAATTTTGTTATTTGTTATACTTTTTAAAATATGATCTACATAATTTCATCTTTTACCTACCCATTTCCTGCAAAAAATATTTTTAGCTATTCATGCTTGTGGTAGGTAGGAAAAGTTTTTTCTGAAGTGTGGGTAGCTAACTTTGTAAATCGGTAAAGTTTGGTGAATTTCACTAGGTGGTAGGTAGGCACTCTCAAAAGCATTTCAACCTATGAAGTTCAGTGACTCCTTTCCATCTCAAAAATATATTTTTTGTTACGACACTGTCTACTTGTAATAACTATTTTATAGTATTATATTATAGTTAGTTAAAATTATTATTTAGGTTAAAAGTCAATGATAAAAGCGTTATGAAATAAACTCATTAACTTATGTATTTTCTAAGTACCTATATATTATACACATACGACATGCCTATACATTTTTTAGGTTTATAACAAATAGTTCATGTAATATATATATATCGTTAAGCATTAATTCAATTAATTCTTGAAACTATATGCTAACCACAGATACAATAGTAACAGTGGCATACAACACTGTACCACATTCAAGGTAAGTACTACAATATCATACCTTTTTACCTACATCGTAATCGGACGTTGATAAATGATTATTGTTGGAAATTAAGTTGGTAAGGATTTAAGTCTGGTTTACATAAAAAAATGTAGAAAATGACAAAACGACTGTGTATGAAAAGTCCATGTGCAGCTTAATTAATAACACAGCTTTCATTTGAGTGAAAATTATAATATGTATAAAATATATACCTGCCTACAGTGTAGGTATATATATAAACTATACATAACTATATAACCTGAGTTTCTATTCATAATAATTAATTAAAATGTAATTAGTACATAACGAGGTTTGCTTGATTATTTTTATATGAAATCAATATTTAAAGTGCATTGTGAAACAATAATTTAACTATATATTTATTAAATTGATCGTAGGAAATTCTAGTGTAAAGGATCAAATATCTAATGTATTAATGTGGGAGGACATTGAGTAAGTGATAGATAGTTTTGAAATTAAGTTAGAGAACGATTAACCATTAAAAAAATAAATCCACGGTACTCAAATTGCCTCTGGATTAACGAGGAATAATCCGGAGGCAATTTGAGTAAGTCCGTAGTATATACTTAGAGAACAGATTAAATTAACCTTTTTCGATATGATTCAAAGTTAATATTAATAATGTTTGTAAATTGTAATAAATGACATGTACCTATCTCTATACACTCGAGTAAAGACGTAATTTGTGAAATTCCAAGGTTTGCCGGGTCGGTTGATTATTTGGTTTTCCATCGAACAAAGTTGGAAAAAAATGAAAACATGATCTACGTCAACAATAATATTATAACGTTCAGGGACATTCTTCAAGAAAGCGACGTTAGCTATTAAGTATAAAATAGTATTACAGTTCGTGCCGCGAATCGACGACTGCAATGACGAATTGACGACGACGACGGTCTTCCGCGTCACACGTTTTAAAGAGAAAAAGAACTACTAGACCGTTTTCATGGCCCCCTCGAGGTCTTTGAATTTGTTGAAATAATTAATATTACCACCGTTCTGTATTGGTCGACGATCGTGCAATAGTAATTTACAGGGGCTAACCTGTAAAATATAGACCAACTATGAATCTAATAATGAGAGATACACTAAAATTTCGCATCGATTAAAACGTCGTCCACTTTCCGTTACCTATTTATACGATTTGATAATCCGGAAGTATAGCACAACTTCTCGAGTAGATATGTAGAAATAGTGGTGGATACAAGTGATGGTAGGGGTCTGAAGTACTCTCTATATAATTCAAAGAGACGTTACTGGTTACTCGTTTATTAGTAATAGTTACTTAAAAGACATTAAAAGGGGACATAATAGTAGATATACTTATTATAGTATCCAACTGTATAGGTACCTAATACCTATACCTACTAATTCCTATATAAAAAAACATATCTGTGTTGTTCTGACTTGATAATATCAAATATTAAATGAAATATAGGACTTGTAATATTTAACAAGGTCAAAGTATACGACTGTGTTAATAATAATTTAAATCGAAAAAAAAAACACAACAAATTTGCAAAATATCTGTGCTGTACAGACATCCAGAATGGTGGCCAAGTTTCTTCCGTTTTGGAAAAAAGTCTTGCAAAATTGTGTTTAAATATTATAATAAAATTATAAAATATAACAATGTCTAATACAAACTGTGAGTTTTGTGGAAAAGCTCGTTGTGATATCAATTGGACAAATTGGAAAAGGCACACAAATGCTTGTGCAAAAAAAAAGTTAAAACCTTATACTGATACGTCTGAAACAATATCGAAGACTACAGAAAAGCCATATAGTCGGCCAGAAAAAAAAATTTCAATGTACTTTAAAGCAAACATAAAAGTAAGTAGGTAATAGCTATCATATTTTAAGGTAGTAATGTACAATGTACCTGCATACATAATAAGAATGTTTACCCTTTTCTTAATTCACATTAGATATTTTATACAATACTATTTTTTTAACAGCTGTAGGTAGTCCCTTTTAACTTTTTTTTATTATTGTACACAGCTATAAATTAATATATACCTAGTTATAAGTAATAATAATAGTTCATAACTTATAGATAGCTACACGTTTTTATGGTGCATTGCTAAGAGCAATTATAACAATTAAAAATATATTAAATCACATGTTTTTTAAATAAAATTACCTAATTTAGATTTTAGTTTAAAACTGCTATTAACCAAAATTAATAATATGTGTTCAAAATTGTTTAATTATTAATGGTTTAATTAAATTAGAGAATGATTGTTTATTCAAAATTTTATTTCAGGTAAAATTCCTGTTGAGACAAAAAAATGTATACTGATAAGTCTGAATGTCTTATGATTAATTATTTATTTTTTTATACCGACTAAGGACTATCCATGTCATTTATCTGAGTTTTCCTAAGGGAATATGTACAATTAATATGTTTAATATCAGATATGATGTAATATAATATGTGCTGAACTTACCTATGTAGTATGTATTAATTTTATTTTATTAAAATGTTTGACCATTTTAGATTCCTCAAGAAAATATTGATAGTTCATTAAAAACAGATGAAATAAAATGTGATGTTGCTAACTTGTTATTGAATTCTTCTGTAGTTCATGCTACTGATTTAGAAAATGATATGAATAAAAATGAATACCACCAAGTAAATTAAATCCTTGTTAATTGTTTTATAATATTACCAGTGCTTGAATTGGAAAAAAAATAGAAGGGGTATGCAAAAGTATAAAACATTTGTGCGTCCCCCCAACATTTAAATGTCTTATCAATTCTTGAAATTAGAAGGGGTACGCTAAAATATTTAAAAAATAGAAGTTCGACTCCGTCCCCCCGCGTCCCCCTCCCAATTCAACCACTGAATATTACATACTAATATATTATTTAAAACTGTAAAAGGTTATTAATTTTAATTTTTAATGTATTTTAGAATCATGGAAATGATAATAATTTAATGTCAATTGATGAAATTAGCGGAAATGGATCTGATTTATTAATAAATAATTATACACCTAAAAATTTTAATTCTACTTCAATAAATATAAATGATTGTGATGTAAGTTGGAATTTTGTAAATTTTAAGTACTTACATAAAGAATTACAAATTTAATTCTTGATTTTGCCATTATTATTTTTTGTTTCTTCTATTTATATTTTACTGCTTTTATGTTCTTAACCACTTTCATTATAGAAAATTATCCTATTTTCAATGATTATATAGTATATGTATCTGGGTATACACATAAAATACAAAAACTTTTCTAGTTCTTTTAACTTTTAATTTTCATACTACAAATTCATAGTTGATCAAATTAGTTGATAATTTAAGTTTTATAAAAATTGTATGTTATGGTAAAATAATACCTTTATATCCTACATTTTCCCTGTGTATAATAAATAAAAAATATTTACACATTTCTAGAGACCCCAATCAAATGTTAGTAATTTGATAGATATGGATAAAAAAAAAAGTGATGATGGGGATGTATCAGAAAAGTTACTGGCCACTTCTGAAGTTACTACTGATTGACCATCAATAAAAGTAAATTGCTAATAAATAAATAAATATACTAATTGCTAAGTTTAAATCATCTTTACAAGTAAGTAAAGAAAACTCCGCGATAATTATTTATAGTTAGTTTAAAAATATTTAATCTTTGCTGATAAAAATTGGCATTTCTCACTAGAAGTTAGTTGTACAATTATTGAACAAAAATAGATATTATGTATAGAAACATTGTACACGTTATCTACGTTTCGTTAAACATCGATAATAATTTATTATACAAAACGAAATACAACTTAGTTTTACTGAATCGATTTTCTAGTGAAGTGTAATCGTCTCAGTTCTGTGTTTCAAATTTTTGTACGTGTAACTCTATGGCTCCTAAACGAAAAATTAACGATGAGCATCGTATTTTTAAAGAAGATTGGACCGAACTTTTCTTTTTTATCGAACACGGTGGTAAGTTATTATGTTTAATTTGTAATAAAACTATACAGTAATGAAAGAATACAACGTCAGGCGACATTACGACAATGAGCATAAAGCAAAATTTGAAAACTTAACTGGTGAATTAAGACAAAACAAAATAAAACATTTATTTTTATTTTTTGGCCCTTGACATCAAAAAGGTTGCCGACCCCTGCTCTACAGGATTCAATGCCAAATCCCAGATATTATTTATTAATTATTTTATACTGTTAAAAAAAAAGGTACTGAATAGGCAACATTTCTTTAGTTTCAACTTCCAATATTAGCTTTTTAAATTAAATTGAGATTTTGGTTATAAATGCACATTTATCTAAGTTAAATATTTTAGATTTACGCTCAGGCAACGTAGACACGTGCCTAGAGAACATATTTTTAGTACCCAACTATTAAGTTTTTAGTAAATTTTTACTTTTTAGTTTTTCAATAATTATACTTGTAATATGGTATATTAATGAAACTATAAAATAAAGAATATTTTTAATTAAGACATTTTTAAATTTTATATTTTATATAGTATTTACATAATAATTGTAATATGTATTAGTTATTGGTATAATAATATTGAGAAAGTATTTATTTCAAATATAAAAAATTGCGCAATTACTCTGCTGCAAGTTAGGTGTCGTGTAGGTCACTCTAATCATTAGAGTGACATACACTGATACACGATAAAGTCTAATAGATGTGTTAAATTTCAATTGAATGATATAAAAATCATTGTGTGCGAAAAACTATTCTGAGTGAAGATATTCTGTCAGTCTAAATTATAATATTATTTTTATATTCCAAAAAAAATAACTAAAATCCTTAAAATCCTATTTCTCCGTTTACCTAAACTTTCAATATCTAATTTAGTCCAATTTTAAGCTTAATAAAGACTGTGAATATAAAGTTGGTGGATGTTTTGGTTATAGCGTCTATGAAATACTTATGAGAAACTTAATAAGGTTTTTAAATATTCAATCCTAAGCTATACAATTTAATATTATATACATTTTTAACTAAAATATAATTTGCAAATTTACGTGATTTTGACGAATTTTATTAAAATATCAACTTTAAATGCTTTTAAAAAAAATGGTGCTACTGTATCCATAATATTTTTGAACTTAAATTATAACAACTTATAAGGAACCTTGTTTACATTTTTAAGCTTTTGGCTCAGAGAAAAAAGTTTATCGACATATAATAAAGAAAAAAACTAAAAAAAATCTAAAATTTCTTATTATATGAAATAGATCAGTCAACATTTTTTGAAAATGTTATAGCGTGTATAAAATGCTAATATAATAATCATTCGGTGAAAATGTCAAGTACTTACGGTTATTATAATTGCTAAACTATATAAATTAAAAAACTATCTATTATTAAAACTATTTAAATTGTTTTGAGCTACTTATGTACATTTTAAGTTTCTAATTTTTTATTATTAGTTTTTTTTTATGTCAATAAAATTGTATTTGTTAAAATAAAACAATTTTTAAGCGCAATGGAAATTATCGTCTAGAAGTTGGTTGTCAAAACTCAATTTAACTCTAAATTACCATTATAGTAGACCTGTACCAGTGGTCTATGATGTAGTAATGAAGTGTGTCAATTAGGTATACTATGTAATCATAATTTATTATTGACATAAAAATTGGTATATAAAATATTATAACAAGACATTATCATACGCTTAATATACCTATCTATAAAACTGATCACTTGACTGTTGTTTGCATTTAATGGTCATCAAACCAATGAGGTGCCAAAAAAATATAACTGCTAAAGTTTTATTCCTAATGAAATACAATAATTATTGTGAACATATCCCATGAAATAATGGTTTATAATTTGACATCTAATTTTGAAATTTTTATCTGAAAATGTTTTCTTGAGTATACTTCAAAGATCAAAATTAATAGAAATTTCCCCTTACTTATTTGTTACCTATTAGTTATAAGTAAAGCTTAATTTTGTATGTACAAGTTTCATATTATATTATTAAGTATTATATTTGTATATAAACCGTTGTGGTGATTGGCTATTGGTAAAATAAAAACTTTGTGGTATTGTACCTAATGTTTATCCATTATTTGATCAGTAATATCTGTCCTCCTGAATATTATAAAATGTATATTAAAATCAACTATATTGCAAGTATTTAAGATAAATTTCACTAATTGCATTTAATTTCAAATTTACTAGAAAAATTGGTGATCATAAGTTGTAACTATTAATGAAAAACATTTTTAAAATTTCAAATAATACCAATTAATTAAAAATTATTTTTTATTAAAAAATAATGACTTAATAATATTATTCAATCTCTCTATTGCCACCTGAGCGTGTAGTTTGATAGTTTCATCTTTGTTGCACTCATATTGGTACTTGAGCATGTGGTAGATATCTTTTATTTTGTCAGGCAAAATCTGTGAACATTGAATTAGGTTAGTACTTATTACACACACAAGTTAATTTTTCAAAATCTTTTCAGTTAAGGTTTAAACACTATGAGTATCAAAATTGTGTAGAAAAACAAAATATATTTAATATTTGTATTCAAAAGAATGAAAAGGGAAACATCTTTTATCCACAGGATCCCAAACTATGGTATAGTCACATGATGGTATGCAGAAGGTACATTAGTACAGTAGATAAAGTTGTTTTTATTTATTTATTGATGTTTGTGGTGGATATAATATTAGTTTATATTTTGTATACATTATTATTACTATTATTTTTAAACGTTATTAGTTATTACTGTTATCCCAAACTATAGAAAATACGTAAATATGCCGTAATTGTCAACATACACCCCGTACTACATTAAGTACTGTTATGAATTTCTAATTTTTGTAGTTTCTTAAATTTTTTTTACTATTTTATTATTTTGAAATTTTGAACATATATTTTCTGTCATTAGTGGTACATGACTAACCTATACCGAATAAACATTATTGATAAGCAAAAAATAATTAAACTAAATATTATGTAATTAATTAACAATATAACAAAATACAAAATACAGTCATCACCCAATAATTCGAACCTCAATAATTCTAAAAACTCAATAAATCAAATTAAATGCTTGATCCCCTGAGAAAACTTCTATAATTGGAAGAAAATACATGTGTATTGGTCCCCTCGATAATTCGAAAGATCTGTCAGTGGTTTTTTGACTTTAATCATATAATTTTACCAAAATAAACCTCTGCAATAGTGCAATAGGTAAAGACTTGATGAAATCGAATAAAACATAGTCAGTTTGAATATGAGTTCCGTAAAGTACTATAATAGTTTTATAATAATAATAGTTATTATAATTTTTTGTGAACTTACTTTAAGTAGTTCTGAATCTCCTCCTTCAATGATCATTTGTAATAATAAAACAGCTGCTCTACGGGGTTCAATCTCTGGATCAAATCGCAGTACATCATCCACACATTTAACTATTTCTTCAACAATTGATCCAAGATTATAACGCAAAATTCGACAAACGTCAGCGAGATTGGAAAGACTCGATGCTCTCACAAAATGGTCACGGTCTCTGACGCCCGCCATAAAAGTGTTAAGTAATCGGTTTTTATACAAAGGAATAGTCTCATCTAGAATGTTAAATCATTAAAGTTTTAACTTTTAATTTGAACAATATATAGTTAATTTACATACAAAAGTTCATACATACTTAGTGATTTAACAGTTTTCATCAAAACTTCGCCGATTTTTAATCTAGTTTCCGGTGAACGGTTGTAATTTGTTGGCATGCTGTACTCTTCACAAAGTATTGGTAGAATATCATTTGGATAATACAAACATAATGAAGACAATGTGAATATGGCGCTTAAATACAAATATGAATCAGTGTTCTTCAAATTTTCCTTAATACAATATAAAATTTAAAAATAAAAATGCTGATACTAATATTATTATTTTACAGTTAATATATACCTGAATCACGATTAATATTGCGGTTTTCTTCACAAGAACCATTTTATCTCCGGATTCTATCAATTTTTTTAACTCCATTAATGCATGTGATCTACTAGGTAACAATGGGTCTCTGGTATCAAATAACACATCATCAATTGTACGTTGAATACCTACTGGTTGTTTTGAACAAATTTTATGAATCTGTTTAATTTTTTCTAGTGTTTCTAGAATCAAATCTTTAAATATGGCATCCTTTACAATCTCTAAAATCTTTGTGAGGTAATCAATGATACAGTCAAATTGATAAATTTTATTGGTGTTTTCTAATACACATCCAAGTACCATCAATGCGATTGAGAGAACTTCGACATCAATTACATTATTTTCACTTATAACTTTTAGTATTGACTTAATGAAATTTAAAACTATTTCTGGGTCAGTAGATATTGATTTTTGTACATCATTTTTTTCAATTAAGTGATGAATAGCTTTAACAATGAATAGTTTTTCCATTATAGAATAGTTATTTGATGATACATCTGTGTACATATCAAGAAATGTTATAAACATTGTTTTCATTAATTTTGAGTCTGCACGCTTGTCTATTAAATCTAAAATCAAATCAACTTGATTTTCTAAATTTAACTGGTGTTCTTTTTCAACATATTTTATTTGTATATTTCCACTATCATCATCATATCTTACAGAAATTTGGTATTGAGAAAATATTATCAGTTTCAAATGATCTTTACAATCAGAAAAATGAATAAATATTAAGAAAACTAAATCTTCTAGTTTAGATTTTAAATAATATACACCATTAGCAACAGCTGTGTACACATTGTATATAGTTGCAGCAACATGCATCAATAATTTTGGATTTAAAGACCAAATTTCATTCCTGAATAAATAAAAAAGGGAATGTAAATCTTCAATACATCTTGAAAATATAATACTTTCATCATTTTGAATTTTATTTATTTTCATTAATTGTTCAATTGGGATTATATATAATGCTAGAAAATCATTATAATTTTCTATTGACATTAAATGAACGCAAAAAACAGCAATGCTTCGAAATTGGAGTTGATGAAAATTTGTGTTTGATCTTAATAACTCCAATATCTAAAATATTTTAATACAATATAATATAATAATAAGATGCTACAGAAATAAAATGTTTTATTATTATTAAACATTTAACGAAAAATTCTGACTTGTAAAGAATAAGTACCTACTTTTAAAGTGTATCTTAATAAAATACATTCAAATGTCCCAAGTAGGTACTTGTCCCAAAAGTATAATATATGACTTAGATTAAACTGTTGTTTACCTGAGGTACAATATAATCAGTATACTTCATTTTTGATTTTATGTAATAATTATGGATTAAATTTGACCATTCTTGAAGACCATGCTGGTTAAAGTTTTGTGATGTTTCAGAAATTAAATCACACGCAACTCTTAAAAATGTTTGAATTCCATTAGATTGTATCAACAAATCTGAAAATAATTCTCCAAGTCCAAGCTTTATATGTTTTTGGCAATTCTGTAAATGACAATTAGAGCACAGATTTATACACGTTAAAAACCAACCAAATATGCATAAATATATTATGCACTAAAATGTTGAAAAATATATAATATTAAATATATAAAATATGCATGAAAAATAAAAAAATATTCAAAATATTTTATTCTTATATGACAATATAGAAATATAATAGTATATAGTATAAATTTCAAAAATTTATAAAATATCACATCAAAATATGCAATTAAAATTGTAAAATAAGCCCTTAAAATAGTGAAAAATGGGTAAATTTCAAAATATTCAAAAATATGCAAATTCAATTTTTAAGCAAAAAACAACAGTTTTAGTTACTTTTTGGAATTTAAAAATATTATTGAGGGTACTTGAAATCTTTACGTTTATTTATATATTTTAGATACAGAATAATATTTTCAAAACATTTACATTAACTTTAAGTTTTGCATATTCATACCACAAACCTATTTACAATGTTTTACAGTAAGGAAGCATTAACTTAAAAGTGATTTGCAAAAAGAGGTATATATATGTTAGCGGTAATGTATGTAATACGTTATTTTATTAAATAACTAGTTATTCTATAAAATTCCTAAATATGTTTGTTAATATATGAATTACATGGTTTTACTAGTTAATACATAAAATACCGATTGGGTTTTCATTAATGTATGAAATTTATATCATTAGGTAGATGACCGGGACTGGATTAGATAACATACAAAATTTGTTACCGTTGTTGTTATTAATAAAAATAATAAAATAAGATAGTATTGAACCACACCATTTGGCATAGACTAGACTTATTCGTGTGACAATGTACTGCGAGTTTACTTACTAGTTAGTTTAATCATTTTTAGTGTTGTATAGTGTAATATAACTAATAAGTGTGCTTTAAAATGAAAACCAAATTTGATACAATTATAAAAATTACAACAATAGAGCGTTATAACAGCACGTTTTTGCTGAAAGAAAAATATGATTTCTTAATAAGTGAAGTGAAACGTATTAAAACAGGAAAAAAAGAATTTTTTTTTATTTATTTATTAATAATTCAAATAATTTTGTTTTAGGAACTAAATACGGTTTACTAAAACAACTTTACGCGAGGTCAAAATTTAGTTTATGCACAGAAAAGTTTATTACGCTTAGTGACGTTCCAGATGTAGATATTTGCCTTCGAAAAGCATCCGATCAATTGGTAATGGACAAGGGTTTTTTAAATGTACATGCCAACAAAAGTGCACCACAAAACGGTGCATATGTTTAAAAAATAATTTACTTTGTAATTCTAAATGCCACCCAAAAAGTTCCTGTACTTATAAATAAATTGTAAATTTAAAAAAAAAAATTATACAAATACATTGACGTGAAAAAAAATTAATATTAATATTTTATATAATAATGTAAGGTGTGTTTGACTTATACTATAACATTTGATTTTTTAATTTGTAAATTGATTAAGATTTTAATAATTATTCTAATAAATTGATGTGAAATAAATTAATATTAATATTTTAAATAATATTGTCAGGCATGTTTGACTTAATACTATAATATTTGATTTTGTTTGTAACTTGTAATTTGATTAAAACTTTTATTCAATAATAGTTTTAAATACATTAACTAAACCCTTATTGTTAGTTTATAAAATATCTAGTTGGTATGTAGAATAACTAGTTGAAGTATATATTTATGGATTCTTTCAATACATTAACTGAAAGTACCCGTAATTCTATAAAATAACTAGTTATTCTATAGAATTACGGAATTTCATACATTAACGCTAACATATATACCTATATTATAACAATTAATTTTATAGTAAATATAATGTAAACTTAGGTTAAAATGTTGATGTCTAAAATATTATTTTTTATTTTTTTAATAATACATACCTTATGACCAAGCACAAATATTATTTCTCGGATAAATAAAGGATCTCTATTTATCAAAATTAGGTTTTTGAGAATATTTTTAAATGTTTTCTGTTCGTTCATCAGTTGCTCATACTTTAATTCATCTATAGCACTTTCTGTTGCAATTCCAGTACCGGGTTTTGCAATGGGTAATAAACATAATTGACATACTCCTGCTAATAAAACATTTGTATGTTTCACTAATATAAGTCTTTTTAATGTAGGCTCTTTTATCAGATCAAAAAACGAATTCACATTAAATTTTAGTTCTTCATATGTCTGAAATAAACAACAAGTAAACTGTTTGAAAATAATAATTTTCATCTAATATTAGTTCAAGCATAAGTGCCTATTTAAAATGTATTTAAATGAAAAAAAATATCTTTTATTCTTTATACTTCTATCTAAAATTATTTCTACCTAGTAAAAGTGAAAAATTTATATTGAAAGACAATTTTTAAATTGATATTTTCATGAAATAGAAACGGGTTTTTACTCTTTGAAAATACTTTATAAATATTTTATAAAAATAATTATAATTTTTAATGAAATAAAAAAAAATTTTTGTAGTGTTCATTCACATAGTGAAATAAAACATTTACCTACCACATACGATTATTATTATTATTATTTATTTAAAGTATACACGACTGCTATTTATTTATGACATATTATTACCATACAAGATTAATTTATGCACATATTATAGTTGTCCTACTTATTTAAAGACCAGTTAAGTTATACAGAGTATTATAAAACTATTTTAGTATTTAAGAGGGTGTCACACCCACATGTCTAAACAAATATAGCAAATTTGAGCAGCTTTCTTCATACTTAGAACAAAAAAATTTGTTTAAAATGTTATTCATGTGGTTCTGTTATCTAAATCTAAGCTTTAAGTTGTTACACTTAAATCATAATATAACTAGTCCATTTTTTTTTGTAAAAGCATATTTTAGGGTTTAAGAGAGTAATTCCCTATACTTTTATTGCACAAAAATATCTTATTTAACCATTTATTAGAATTTAGAACTTACAAAATGTAGCCTCAAGTTATTAGCTATAATATTAGAGTGACTTCACCTATATTAAATTTTAAAATAAAGAATATTATCTGTATTCTTTTGTTGTTTTTACGATTTATGTGTATATAAAATATTAAAATTTAAAAAGCTCATAGCTCGATTAAAAAATTAAATATAGTAGAACCTCGATGATCTATCTTTCTTGATTGATCCCCACTACTCAGGTGTTTCTTTGTATTGACGAGTCAGGTATGGTCACGTGGTATGGTCAAATAAAAAAATTTAACAGATTTTTTAATTGTAAATAAATATATTAGTAAATATATTCTCTTTTAACAATCTTTATATGATTATTCGTGAAGGCTCTGATAATCGAGGTTTTACTGAATACTAAAAAAAAACTAACAAGAGAATATTCATACCATTAAGCTTGATAATAGGTAATTTCACTCTAATATTAATTAAAAATTGGAACTCCTGAATATAAATTCTCGTATGTTATGCTTTAGTAAAAGTAAGATAAATAAGCGGGTCCGAAGTTCTCTTAGCTATTATTTATTAATTCATATTAAATCTACATAGACAAATGTAAATAGATCTTTTTTTTTTTATTAGATAAAAAGAAATATTTACAATCTGATATATTTATATAAAACAATAATTAAATTTGATGACAAAGAAGGCAAAAAACATGAATAGCGTGAGGAGGGAGGCCCACCAGTGTGGATACCCTCTAACTTGGGGTAAAATACATCTTATGTATATATAAGCATAAAAGAATAAAATCTAAGTAGGCATATAGTAATTTGTTTTTATTTTTATTAACTTATGTAGGAGAATTAGTTATGACAATTTGTTATCTTTTATTCTTTTTTATACCTGAGTATTTTTCTTCATTTAGAATGACTTAAAAAATTAAATATTAGTGTGTAGAACTTACCATACTTATCTTTAAACAGATACAACTTAAATTCTTATATTGTATGTTATTAAACATGACATGAATAAATAATAATAATAATTGTGTGTGGTAAATGTTTCATTTAACTAAGTGAATGACCACACTGTGAAAAAATTAAATGATGTCAAATTGCAGATAATATAATTTCATGAAAAGATTGATATATAAGAAAAAATATTTTTAATTGTTTCTTTGTAATTAATAATAATACATTTGTAAATATATATTTTTTAAATATTGTGATGGTTATAATATTAAGGCTGGGATTTCGATATACTTTGCATTGTTTTCCAAATATAGCAACACGATGCTCGTTTTATAACATACACTTATCATGTATTTTTGAATCAGAATAAGAAGTTCCTCTTGTATTTTTTCAAATTTTTAAATTTGAAGGCCATTTTTTTTTAGACAATTTTATAATTTTTGGGGCATTTTTTTTTCATTTTTTGAATTTATAGTTTGAATTTGAAATTTTATTTTAAGTTTTTCCATGCTTTTAAACAATTTTTATATAAATTAAACAAGCCATAATTATAAACAAATCAATAAAAATAAAATCTAAACCTATAAAAAAAAAAAACAATAATTTATGGAAATAATTGTATTTCCAGATTAGAGTAGTCCAAAACGATCAGTTCTATTTGTGACACTTTTTTACAATCATTTAAAATGTATATTGTTATTTAAACCAAAATTATATCAGAATTTATATCGAAATTATTACATTTATTGGTGCATTTTTTTAGTGCATTATTTTAGTTTTTTAGAGCATTTAAATCTCAGTTTTAGTGATAATGGTTTATGAAAAAAATTAAGTGTTTATCACTAATAAATAAATATATTAGGTAGGTACATAGAAGTATTTGTGGACTACTCAATTTGTAACTTTGTAATTCAAATACATATCACATGGGTTATATCAAATAGTTGTCATTACTGTGTCAGGTGAAATATTTTTGATGGTTTGTTCATATTTTTGGTTATTCTCAAATGATTTCCATATACTTGGTATAAAACATGGAATAAAACCATGAGTGACGACATAATGTATGCATCTTGATACTGTAGCACAATTAATAGCACTTAAAATTATATCAGTAGAATCATCAGAATGCTTTAACAGACATTCTTTTAAACGAGACAATAGTTCAATAGTCTTCTTAACATAAGAAAATCTGAAAATAATAATGTCTCATCAAATTATAATAAATTTAAATTTAAATTTAAATAAATACATTACCGAAGACTTTGATTTTTGTAATCATAATAATCATAATTTTTGAAATTATCAGATGTATTAAGATGTGAAAATGTTTCACCTAAAATATTTACAGACCATAAATAAAATAATAACACAACATATTATGATTATTTATACATCTAATAATAATATATTATCAAGGCTGGGCAAGGTAATGATTTTTTTAACTCAGTTAAGTTAAGTTAATCTGCACCAGTAACAAAAAGTTAAAGGTTAAAAGTTAATTTAACTATAGGTTGGGTAACTCAGTAAAGTTAAAAGTTAATACACATTCTGGTACACACTTTTTGTTAACTTTTTATTAAGTTAAAAATAAAATTGATTTGTTTATACAACACTAGCCTACTTAATTTTTTGCCAACCCAAAACTAAATTATATACTATAGTGTTTATTACTTTGATGGATTTTGTCACTTATTAATTACCTAGAGTAATTAATTTTAATACATACATTATTTGTTAGCTTTGAAAGAGGTAATAGAAATTTACAATGATAGTAATTATTTAATAGTATTTAATAGTATTAAATAATAAGAACAAAACTACTTGTCTTCTGATTGCATCATCGTCCTCGATTCAATAAAATACGTAGGTTCTAAAAAAGAAAAATTTAAAAAACGGTGTTGACCGGTATAGTAGTTTCCTACTAAATATTATAATATGATTTAAGAGGGAGTAATAGTAAAACTATGTTCTTAATTTACACAAACAATTGCAATTAAAGTAATAACATCATACTTTATAAAAAATATTGATAACATTTTAAGATCCTCATTTATTTAAAACAGTTTATTATTATTTAGATTTCAAAGTTATAAATTATTTTAATATTTTGACTATTTACATTACTGTTGCATTTCATAATTTGATAAATTTGGAATAATTTCACTAACATATTAATATATTATAATAGGTGCATATTTACTGAAGTATATGATATTATTATTAAATAAACAATACATGAAGTAAGGATATTTAACAAAAAAATCTCACCAGAACCGTTCTTCGAGGTAATTATTGTGGACATCAAATCGATAAATTTTTATCAAAATACAGTTTTGATAGGTACCTAGCTATATTTACCTATTTTCACAACTTATAAATATTTATTAATTATAGTTGCACACCTAATTAGTAATTATACTTAAGAGGACGCTACCCATACATTTGTTGTCTCCGTCTTACACACGCACGACATAGCAAATTGTCGTTCACTAGTTTCAATAGTATGCAGTTAGTTTTGATACTAGAGTGAATTGACCTATCATAACATATTTAGACAATGACATTATCTGTGCTTAAGCGTTGGCTTTTATTCGATATTTTAATTTTCAAGCGAGTTATGAGCATTTTAAATTTTTGATATTTCACGAACACATATCTTACTTGAAAATGAAAATATTTAAAAATCGCCAACGCTTAAGCACAGATAATATTCTTACCTAATAGTATGATAATAGATCAATTCACTCTAATATTAAAACTAACAACACACTATTTAAACTAGCGAATGGAAATTTGGTATGTCGTGCGTGTGTAAGACGGAGACAACAAATACATGGGTAGCGTCCTCTTAACACAACTAATTACAGATAAATAATACAAATTTACCTAACACAGTGACCGATGTAGTACCATCACCAACTTCACCATCTTGAACCATCGACATGTCGACCAATATTTTAGCTGCTGGGTTATAAACTCCAATATTTTTTAATATTGTCGCACCGTCATTAGTCACTTCAACTTTAGAATCCATACCACCACGACCCACAGAAATTAGTATCTTGTCCATGCCTTTTGGACCAAGTGTGCTTTTGACCAAATCGCCAATGGCAATAGCACCGATGAAACTAGACAGACGTGTATTTTCCCCTCGGTCTTCTTCAGCTTCGCGTTTCAAAATGCGTACGGGATTCAACGAAACTGTAAATAGTGAAATCACAGAAATGTAACAAGAATAACCAATGAATTTGCAAACATCACAAACACAGTTTAGAATACTTTCCGCCAAAGTCAGGCGGATAGTTTTCACACATCATTATTTCATTTAGCTTACCATCTTTGTATTTAATTTATTACTTCTGTGCATCAATAACGAAAACAAAATGAATGCAAATCGGATAGTGAAAACTGAAAACACAAACACAATAGTTAGTTGAGTACTTGAATAGTGTGGTTTGCGGAACAACGGAACAAAAAATCATCAATCGTTGTCCAGTCCAGTGAACACAACAAAATACAAAAACACAAGCCGACGAAATATCAGTACAGACACAGAACAAGACGGTACAGACGGTAAATTTAAAAATTCTGAAAATTAATACACTGTTGTCGTGGTATTTCGTACGTTCTTATCGTTTGTTACTAATAAAATTTACGATTGTGTTATCATATTGTCATTATCAAATATGAGTTTACGGACCACGATGTAGAGAAGATAAGGTGACACCGCTCCCGTATCTTTCAATGGTACAATATTGGCGCAAAAAATCACGGCAGTTTGGTAGTTCAGAATTTAACACCAGAGTACGCCACCCTTCGTTCGAAGGCCGACTTTTATACGAGTCGTAATGGAGATAGATTTAAATTTTATTTAAATGTATTAATTATTGTTGTTCAAATGTCGATAGTCAGCTTGCCAACATAATATATTTTATGTTATATTGTATAGATTATTAAAATAAACTAATGTTTTGGAATCATGTACCAATTATTATGTAAAAATTGTAATAATATTATATGGTATGTAGCCATATCGTATAAATTTATTGATTTAAATAAAATGCATATTTATTTTATGATATTTATATGTTTATTTATTCATTGACACATATATGTACAAAAATGGAATTAGTAATATCTACGTACAATAAGTATGGATAAGGACGAGTTTAAACTGTTAATAAAAACTCAAAATATATAGGTACTACTACCGTCTACCAGCTACTGACCCAAGTACACCTAAATAAAAATCATAATTATAGGTACCCATATGATATTGATATATAATAACAAAAAAAAAATTAAATATTAAGCAATGATGTAGAGAAAATATAATATTTACAATAGAGAATAGAATATATTATCAGTTAAAATAATAATATAAACCTAATATAAGTAGTATAAGTAATTGATAATATTCTATTTTTAATTTTAATTTACATAATTGTTTGTATTTACACAAGTCTTAAGAGTTAAGACTCCCTTAATGGTCTGTGCCCTGTGGATTGTTTAATAATATTTCGTATATACTTTCTTATTTTGTTAAAAAATGCCAAACAAATGTTTTGTGCCAGGATGCAAAACTGGCTATGCCAGTTACAACAAAAAGTTAAAAGTAGAAAATAAAAAACCACCTATTTTATTTCGTGCACCAAAGGTGAGTCATAATTTTTAAATACCTACTATAGAGATTTATTTGAGGGAAACATTTGTATAATTTTCTTTACCACCTAAGTACCTCTAAAAGGGCATTATTAATGATACATATTTGTATGTGTTTAATAAAGTAAACTATTTATACAATTTTAATAAATTATAATTTCAGATCAAAATATAGCTTAATTGCAAACCTAATTTTGTTCTATTAAAATATGTAGTAAATATAATTATATAATTATATTATAATATAAATATCCTGAATTCTCTATATTATAAAATAGATAAATTCTGACCTAAAAAAAAAGTGTACACTGTGCACTATGGAATAAAAATAACTAAGTTGATTTTATACATAATATTTACAAAGCACCATAGTTAAAATAGTAAAAAAGATAAATGATTAATATATAGAAATGAAAATCATCAAAAAAAAATTACATTGAAGTTATAAAAATATTTAATTTTACTTTAGGATAATCAATCTCTGGAAGTTTGGAACAAACATATTCCCCGTGATGATAAATTATTAAGTGAAAAAGATTATGTTTGTGAATTACACTTTGAGGCCACTAGTATTATTAAATATGATGAGTTCAATATTACTGAAGGAGTTGTAGAAAAACTAGAAAGGACTACTCCAATGTTAAAAACAGATGCAGTTCCTACAATTTTTCCAGGTCTTCCGAAATATTTAACTACAACAATACAAAAACGTCCAGCACCAAAATTACGTTTGATAAATCCTATAAAAAAAGAAAAGATTGATGAGAATATTGTGTTAGATTATGAAGAGAAAAGTGAAACTGAATATAACATTAGAATTCTGCACCAAGAGGCCTCAACTATTCCTCTTCCTGGAACCATGTGGGGGATTCACACTTCTCCAGGAAAAACTATACTTGCTCATTTAAATTTGAAATTAGAATGTGATAAAACTATAGTATTTACTGACAATTGTATACCTATAGTACATATTTCAAAAAAGCTAGTTGAATTTCCAGAAATAAAATGTAATTTAGATCTCCAAAAACTTGTACGAACAATTGATGAATTAATTCCTTGCACTGGATATACTGAGAACGGCTTTCTATCTTCTGAATGTATTGGTTATGTAAAACAAGATCTGTCATTAGCAAAAAATTCTAAAAGAAAGATAAGGTGTATTAATTGTAGCGAATTAAGAAGAAAAAACCAACGAAAATATAAAAAAAAACCAAGAGTCAAAGTTATTGCTTCTAAACTAAAAATTAAAAGTGACCTACATAGAAAACTTTGTAGAAAAGTTAGTATGATTTGTATAAAATATAAATTAATAAATGTATACCTGTTAGTAAGATGTTTGTTAATTATTATTTTATAGGTTCTTTCTTTAAAACAACAACTCAATTTAATTCTAAAAAAGTATGATGACCTTACTCAAACACAATTATCGTCATATACAGAAAAACTACCTGAAAAACAAAAAGAAGCTATTAATGCATGTTTTAACGCAGCAAACTGTAAATCATCAAATGGCCGACGTTACACAACAACATGGGTATATGAATGTTTACTTATGCGAATCAAATCACCAAAGTTATATCGTAAAATGCGCAGGGATAACATTCTACCTTTACCATCTTACACCACTTTACAGAGATATATTAAAAACTCCGTCCTGTATATGGTTTTTCTGATGCAACTATTAAAATGATGGGATTAAAAGTCAAAGAAATGACTGAAATGGAAAAACATGGTATTGTTTAAAAATATTATAGGTTTTTATTTTTTTTTTAATATTTTATTTCCTATGATACCTAGGATGTTTGCTTATAGATGAAATGAAGCTATCAGAAGCACTTTCATTTAAAAAATCTAGTCTACAGGTTGAAGGATTTGTAGACCTTGGAGAATATTCCACAGAGAAAGATCAGGACAAGCTTGGAGACCATGCACTTGTCATATTATTTCAGCCATTTTGTGGAAAATGGTTCCAACCTATTGGTGCTTTTTTGGGGGCAGGTGCTGTTCCTGGAACAACCTTGGAAAAAATTATAATGGAGGCAGTAATAATGCTTGAAAATCAAGGTATCCATGTAGATTGTGTTACTACAGATGGTGCAACTTGGAACCGCAGTATGTGGAAACTTTTTGGTATAGGTCAGAAATCTTCTAGCTGTATACATCCATCAGATTCTAAGAGACAACTATGGTTTGCTTCAGATTTTCCACACCTCATAAAAAATTTAAAATCTAGAATAATTAACAACAAAGTATTAGATGTAAGTTATAAAAGACAAGAATTCATTTTATTTTTAATTACATTGTAGTTTAGTTATTAATTATTAAGTTATTATAAAACTAAAATAAATAAATTATTATTAGGTATATAATAGATTATAGGTAGGTATATAGAATTTTTCAATTCATTTTTTAGCCTTTTTATATTTGTTTTTTTTTTAAGACTCCAGAAGGTACAGTTGATGTTTCTCATTGGAAATCAATAATTAAAGCAGATTCCTCATTGCAAATAAAAATATGTCATAAACTAACAGCAGATCACATTCGCCCAAAGCATTTTCAAACCATGAATGTCAAAATGGCATTTCAGGTACTTATTAAAATTAAGTAATATTGTATTTTTGAATGATATGTTTTAGGATAAAAAACTATTTTATTTCTGTATTAATTTCAAATTCTGTTAAATAATGTATTATAATCTTTTTTATTATTTTATATTTTATTTGTTATTGAAGTTTTTTAGTAGATCAGTGGCTGCAGCAATGGAATATTATAAAGATAAAGTTCCAGAATTGAATAACTGTGAAGCAAGTATTGCATTTGTAAAAAGGATAGACCAAGTTGTAGATGCAATGAATTCACAAATTCCAAAAGATGCTTTAAGGCCTGATCCTGAGTCAATTCATAACAAAGTAAATAGTTTAATGATTTATGACACATACCTACTTATTTTGATGAATATTAAGTACAATAAGACATTTTAATTAATATATTATATACCTATGTGGGCATGTGGCTATGTATAATATTATGTACCTTATTAATAATTTAGGTTCTCTCTGATTTCTTGATTTATCTTGATGAACTGGATAATATGAATACAACATCTCAAAGGAAATTAACTTCATCGACTGCATTAGGCCTCCGTGTCACAATTAAAACAGCACTTGAATTGGTGAAATATTTAAGTGACAATTTTCAATTCAAATATTTACTAACAAGACGAATAAATCAAGACCCCCTAGAAGTGAATACATCATTATTTTGATAAAATAATTTAAATCATGACATGATTAAAAAAATATTATTTACCTAGTTGGTTGAATTCATACAATTAATATAAATTAATTTTTGCAGCACTTTTTTGGAAGTGTACGAGATGCGTGTGGATCGAGTTGTCATCCTGACTCAATATTGTTCATACAAGTTTTTCGATTACTTTCAACATATGCTCTAGTAAGACCACCTCGTGGAAGTAATGTCTCTGGTGGAGAACTATTAGAGACAATTACAACTATGAAGGACGTAATAGGTGATGAAAATTATAATAAAAAGATTGATTTTGAAAATAAAATTGATGACATACTCGACAATGTTCATGAAATACCAGTCGATAATTTGATCTCAATAGCTGATCATGACTATACTGCTCTCCAAATAAATGAAGATGCTTTAACTGTATTAAGTGGTTATGTTGCAAGGAAGATGAGAAGAGTAAAACCTGCCAAATGTTGTCAGGAATGTTACACCATGTTGTGTGCCCCAGATAATCATGAAGTACAAGATAGAGAAAAACTCCTAGAATTGAAAACTCGTGGTTATTTACTTGTACCATCTAAAAAACTTTATGAAATTATTTACCAAGTAATATAATAATATAATATATAAATATATATTATAAATATAAATATGCAAACAATTTGCATATGTATAATATATTTGTATACTAACTAATAATAATTTCCTTTATTATTTGTTTTAGCTTGAAGATGCCATTTGCTCAATTATTGCAAGAACTAAAATCCAAAAAAATTTATTATTTTTAATATTAGATGAGCTAAGAACAGAAAAATTTAATATTAACTTACTCGGTTGTGATGAACATGCAAATGCATTGACCAAAAATATTATAACATTTTATTTACAATCAAGAATGTATTTTGTATGTGATGCAGAGAATGCTAATCGAGAAAAAAATAAAAGACAAAAAAATTTAGCGAAGCAGTCGAAACTTATATAACCGTGTACATAAAGTTGTTGAAATAAAATACTTATATAATAAAACTTTCTTAATTTAAACTATTTTAAATGTTACCTAATTGAATAGAATGATTACCTAAAAATAATTCTTACGTGGTTAATATTATAAATTTGAAGTAATAGTGTCAAAAACGACAAAAATGTATATAATTTTTGAAATTTTACGTTAAAAACAATGTATTCACAATATAAAAACCGGCCTTCGGGCGAATGGTGGCGCTACCTACCACACTGCCGAGAAAATTTGCGACCGGAATATGTACAAGTGGTGTCACCTTATCTTCTCTACATCGTGTTACGGACGAATGGATCTTCGTAGGAAAAAATTTTTTAAGTCCGTATAATATTGCCTACATTTAGCCCCTTTTTTGCAGTTATCAAAATGTGATAACATTGATATACCGAAAACATCATTTTCATTATAAATTATAATATTATATTTTATTATATTAATTATAATTAAAATAGTTAAATACATTAATAGTTAATAAATAATAAGTTATTAAAAAACACAATATCGTAATTTAAAATTTAAAAATACACAATTCATTGAGCATACAGTATAAATGTACAACCTATTTACGTGGAACTACTATTTAAATTTTCAATCTTTAGCTATGAAAGTTAAATTATATAATAAATTTTTAAATTTGATAAATATTTTCAAAATTCGAACTAATACAAAGATAGAAATTGTGTAATGATATTATTATTATTACAGTACACAAATATTGTTATAAAAATAATGTTATTATAATAACATAACTATCCAACTAACATAATATTTATTCAGTAATTTAATAATATTATTTTATAGATATTATAATAAAATTATTTTTTATGTATGCTAATAATCATATTATTTAACAAATATAATAATCAAGCTATTATAATAAAGAAAGTATATTATTATAATTATTATGAATCTTGAACATAATTTAATACCCTTTGAATAAAAATCAGTATAGATGGTAGTATAGTATCATATAAAATAAAATACCTAAGCTGCAAAATCGAGCTGGGGCTATAAATGAAGAAAAACAAAAACATATTTTAAAACATTGCAATAAAATTATTGAATTACTTACAAACGAATCAAAACCTATGCAAACTGAAGATATAAATACAATTAACATAAAAAAAAATATTGAAAAACAACCACGTTTCTTTACTAAAAATAAAAAAAATAAACTTGAATTTCATCAATTGTCGTCAAGTGAAGGTAATATAATAAGAAAATCCTTATTCCTTACTAAATGATACAAGTGTTTTAAATGTTCATTTATATGACGATCATTCTTATAGCGCTAAAAGAAAATGAATTTCTTAATATATTGTTGAATTGTATCTTTTAAATGAAGATCGTAAGTTAATAATGAATATTGTGTTTTTTTTCGAATTGTGTGTATTATTAAATTTATTAACTATTAATGTATTTAACTATTTTAATTATAATTTATAATGTAAAAATATTATGTTAGTTGGATAGTTATGTTATTATAATAACATTATTTTTATAACAATATTTGAGTACTGTAATAATAATAATTTCATTACACAATTGCTATCTGGGTATTAGTTCGAATTTTGAAAATATTTATCAAATTTAAAATTTTATTATATAATTTACCTTTTATAGCTAAAGATTGAAAATTTAAAATAATGTTCCACGTAAATAGGTTGTACATTTATACTGTATGCTCAATGAATTGTGTATTTTTAAATTTTAAATTACGATATTGTGTTTTTTAATAACTTATTATTATAGGGCTAGGATTTTGTAGCATTTGCATTTTCTTTCATAGTACTCCAGGACATAGCTAATCAAAAACAAAATTCGATTCATTCATCACAGAGTTCAAATATACAATTTTGTTTTTGCTTTTTTTGCTTTTTCTTGTGATATTTGTAAATAAATGCTTTATTGGTACTTTTTTGTCAGTTTATTAGCTTTTTAATTGGTTTTTGTTAATTATACGCATATTTTTTAACATTTACGTACATATTTATCTAAATTATTATTTTTTCATTTATTTTAATTGTATAATTATATATATTTTGTGAATTCGTAGTGAAATATTATCGCCTAATCGGAAAAATTGTTTTCAAAATATTACAAAATAACAAAGAAATTTAAAATATCTTATAGTCTTTTTTAATATTTATATAATAAACAGGTACCTAAAATATAATAAAACAGTTTTTAATTTTTTTTTTTCAATATTTATAAATTGTACTTAGTTGTTAAAAATATTTTTCAGCTAAACTTATAAATGTTTAAGTCTTTTTTAGTTGCATTTTCCTGGTTAAATGCTTTTATTTGTAGCATTATTGGCAATTTTTTAATTCCTTAAGCTCTTCCTACAGCAGAGCACCTTTTTTTAAACTGTATTGGACGCGTTAAAATAATATATATTGGGAATAAAGATGGGCCTCCAAAATCAATGGGCTCCGGAGTTCTCTGAAGAACTTTAAATTATTAGTTTTGACCTATTCAGATTTGTCTGATCCATAGTAATTGAGAATTCGTAAATATGGCATGCAAAACCAAAAAAAGTGATGAATACAGTAATTTTAGAGTTTAGTCCAACCACTCTCAAAATATACTAAGCTGTACACAACTATACTGTCCCTATTTAATATTTTTTTTCTAGACATTTGTTCCATAGGTCCATACATTATTTTTGTATTTTGAGATGATTTAGAGACTTGGTGGATTTGTTCTAATTAATTTCCAATTTCTAAATGTAAATAACAATAATATAAACCATACATTATAATTATAATCATATAATTGACAAAAATATAAGAACTAATAAATGTTGTCCCTCACAATAATTACAGCATTAATTATAATAGATACACACCATGAGGAGGGGTCGATATAAGGGTTTTACCTTTTGTATCGTTGTTTTAATTTTATAAAAAAAAGTTAAACATTTCTAAAAACAATAAACAGACATAATAATATAATAATAATATGACTGTACCTATACAGTATACATACATCATGGTGTCAGGCTACCTAATGATTTGGTTTTGCTGAGATAGTCATATTATTATACAAGACATGGATGTCCATAGTCACAAATAGGGGGGCTTCAGTGGCTATGCCTCCCAAAAATGTCCATAGCCCCCCTAAAAATGTCCTACATTTTGTTTTAAACTCATTCAATATTATCAAAATAAGACTTTAGCACCCCTAAATCGCAAACGCTATTTGCGCCTATGCTGTTGTCAATATAAATAAAAATTAAAACACGCAATATTTTTTGTATGTTTTATATATATATATATATAAATATAATATATAATATATCATTTATTTAAATTTTATGTTATAAGTTATAACTAATAAATAATTTACAAATTACAAGAATGAATAACAACATTACCTATTTTAGGTAGGTATACATATAGACATGATAAAATATAGTGTACTGATATTTGACAATTACAATCTATTGTGTGTTGATTAGGCATTTACCTACGGATGAAATACATAGTTTTGCTCCGCGATGATGTAAAAATATTTAAGTTGCACAAAAATATTAATTGAATAAAACGTCATAAATTGGGATTATAATATATACAAATAATTAATACATGCATAGCTTACGGCTATACCTCTTACTACACCGGTATATAAAATTATAATTTATAAAATGTATATTAATTATTACTTAGATAAGTACCCATATAAAAACAATAGGTACCTATACGATATCTTACTCGTAAACATAATTAATACAAATATATCCAAGACACTAAACATAGATAAGTCATAAATGCAAATTATATATTAGGTGCTAAAATAGAATAATATTATAATAAATATTTTGTAAAAGAACAATGATGCTGCTAGAGGTACCTACCTATTACTAAAGTGATAATAAACCTATAATAAATATATTACCTACTTGATTATAAATTATAATTGATAGATACCTATGTATCTAATGTGAATGGGCAAGATGTGGTCACTGGAAATAGAGCAAAACGTTTTTAGTTTAATTACATTTCTTCTCTTCAAAAACCACAAAAATCTACTACAGCATTAGACAAGTGTAGCTAGTTAAACGTGGATCGCCATTGAATTTGTGCTTATAATGTATACTTAGTTGCCCAAATGGCAAGTGAGTACCATTTTGGCCTGTGTAAAAAAAAAACTATTGATACCTACCTAGCCGATTTGTATACAAATGGGTAGGTAACGTATTATAGTTATATTATAATATGAACACCGAGCGAAATTCAGATTATTTTATGATGAACAATATTCATTTTTAAATCTTAGGTACCATACGCCATACTATTAGGGAAGTATGTATATATAATAATAATAATATATTATTTTATGCGTTTAGGCGTGCGCAGCTGAGTGTAGGTACCTAGTATAGAGAAATAAAAATTATTATGCATTTTTGTCTTCAAGTACAAACAGAATTTAATGGAGATTAATAGAGTTAGAACTTGGGATGTCGAAGTCCATACTAAATCCGAACTATATAGATTAAAATAAGTAAAACAAGTGGAATAAAGTGATCACCTTACTGATTATTGAAATCATACAAAAAATGTCAAAACGCATGTTCTACTGTGTGATTGTGATATTGTCAGTGAAGGTATGACTGATAACATGTTTATGTGTTTTACGTGCGACTAGAAAAGTAATATTTAGTTTAAAAACTTGCTATCAAAATTGAATATTACTGAATTAAGAAATAATATGACCTGTGGATTCAAAATAGAATTTTTATAATTTATTTATTTTATATATTGTAAGTTATTCTTATTATGCTATTACCATATGAAAGATAATTGTTTATTGTCAAGAGCTATTGGATGTAAAAACTAAAAAGAATAAGTGTTCAATCAGAAATGTATGTTGTGAAAAACTATATACATTTTTCAACTGGCAAAAGCTGTATTAGTTTAGAAGATTTTACTTCAGTACTTCCTAATGATTTATATATCCAAACTATAATCTTATGCCAGTTTCACTTACTTTCCCCATAAGTTCATCTACATGTGAATATAGTTTTTCAGCAATGAGAAGAATAAAAACATGGTTGAGGTCATCTATATTGCAAAATAGATTCAACAATTTAGCTATCATTAGTATAGAAAATGATATTTCCGAAACAATTGATAGAGAAATCATACTGGATCCATTTGCAAAAAATAGATATATTATTTTAAAATAAATATTTTAATATACCTACCTAATAACCTAGATACCTAACAAGGTTGTTAGGTACTGTAAATTAATATTTAATAATTTTGTTTTTCTTTAAAATTTGTATAACTTATGTTATCTTTTTTACATATTTAAAGTTAAAATTCAAGTATATGAACGAGTAAATGTTTGACACTTATAGTATGTTTAAAATAAATCATGCTTAGTTTTGGATGGTGTTTACTGTGATATTATATTTTTAAGTGCTAAGAAAGGCTTTGATATGCAGTAAAGTATTTTTTAAATATTACCCCCCTCTAAAATTATGGTAAATTTCCGCCTATGGGTACATATTATTCTACCAGAATTTTAAAAGCTTAAAATCACGTCCAAGGGGCGCGTTTTGCATTGGTACCTACCCCGAAAAATGATCTTTTTTTGCGTACGCCTATGACATGTTTAGGTTTAGTACCTTTATTATATATATACATCAACCACTTGTATCGTATACCTATTGTTTTTCTTTCGTTTTTAACGTAAATTAATTAACTAAATAGTATATAATATTATGTGACTATTTATTTTTATGCAAATTAAATTGCCGTAGAATTTTTATTATTTTGTCACAGACTCACGTCGATGATATTATAAATACCTACATTATATATATATATATATTATTATACTGTCGCTGAATAATTGACAGCGACAATTCGGTTGATAATGGCAAATGCGTTGAAAATAATTTATATGACCTTTGTTTCCCTACTTAAATGGCTATTTAAAAATTGTTATCCAAGGCGTTGAACTCTTTGCTTATCTGTACATTTCATCTACCACTCTAAACAATCATCATGAACAATGCACACGAAAATGCCAATCCGAATAGCTGAAACAAAAAAAATATGTTACGGTAATTTAAAAAACTTTTTACTCGTAATTAATTTATTTCTTATAAAAGAATAGTAGAAGCATCAGCATCATTATAACATTCACATTATTTCTAAATATACGATTTTTTTTTCAAAAAATCATAACTATAAGATTCAGTCTTTTTCGATAAACCTTCATCACATTTGTCATAAATCGGTGACAAATTCGTCTGATTAAACTAATTATTATGTACCTATTTCTTGAGTTTAGGTACTTACCTATAACCAATCAAACATAAATGTGTCCACTTTGCCCCGCACGTTTGCCTATAATATGTGACGTGTTGAAACATGTAAACATACATATTGCATAACTAAAACGACTCTAAGATCTGAGTCTATGTCTTTGATACGCGGTCAAAAGGAGTTAAGTCATGTTTTTTTTAAATCATGTTTTGACACCTTTATATACGAAAAAAAATCTAAATTTTTGCTACAAACAAGTTAAGTCACCAAATAATCTGTGAATGTTATGTGTACTAAAGATATGTTTCAAATTTTAATTTCTATTAAGATCTTAAAGAGTTTAAATATTAAAATATTATATACGTACTAGAAACAGTGACACGGCTATACCAACAGTCCCGACAGTAGTCGCGTGGTCCTTCATGAAAGCAGTGGTCACGTTCAGACAGCCGGTATTGTATATCTGTAGGCTCGCTTGGAAACTCAGATTGCACGGTTGTTTCTATTAAAAAGTGCTCATGATTATGTCACCAGTTATATGTGTGTATAATTATGATGAGAGAGGGCTAAAGAATGCATGTCCCCTTAACTATTTGAAGGAAAAACTTAAATTTTAAATAATTGTATTTCCTATTCGACTGCAGTGTGTATAATGTATAAATTGTATGTGAACTATATTTACTCAATCATTGAAAAGTTTCAAAATAGTGTAAACATTAAACAGGTTCCTATATGCTTAAATATTGTATGACACAATATTGTTTAAACGTTAAATATTTGATAAAAGTAAAAATTAGTTCTAAATCAGTAACAAAATGGAAAATTGTGTTAATCTTCACTGCACTTACACATGCTAAATATTTAAATAAAGTACACAAATCGATGGTTAATCTCTGCAGATTTTATATTCGAATTGATAATGTATTGCGATTGTAATTATTGGTTTGGTTTTATATAACGATCAACAGTTGTTTATTGTCATCAAATAGTTGGGCGGTGACACAAAATAAATATAAAAACGGACACGCATATGAGCATATCTCTTGCTTATGTAGAATAAATTATAATAATTAAATTTTTATATTATTATTATAATCTATTTATTTTTGTAGAATTTAACATTGTTACTCTACAAAATTCTTAAATACAAATTACAATTTTAATACATGGTTACGTCTTACACTCTTACGTAATACGTTCACAGAAAAGTAGAAAATTTAAATCATGGAAGGACTCCAGTCCCTCAACCAGCTCACCACCCCCTCTCCTCGAAACTATAACATTATTTTATTTTTTCAATACGATTGTTAATTTTGAACTGCACATTTACATGATACACTATAATACACTCAATTCTCACCTTTCCGTTGATCTCTTGACAACAGCTGCTGGGAATGATTCCGCCAATCCTGTGCTGCCTCCAGTCATCGTAGCCCGTGACTCCACAACAGTGTAGCTGAAACGAGAAAAAGGATATGAAATATGTCGTACACAAAAACGCCTTTAACGAAAACGTAGACGATGTTTATCCGATCTCGACTTACTCCTTCTTGGAGGTCGTCCCACGCTCTGGTTATGGCGCGGTCGTCGCCGTAAAACCTTATTGTCCTGAGCATCTCTTGTTGCATAGTCGTCTGTACCCTTTGCCTGAACACGTAACATAATATCCCTCCGACGAGCATCACGATGAATATAATGAACAGAATTATGAAATACTATAGGACAATACAAAGAAAATGAATAAATAATTTCAATTGGTATATTATACTATAATATTGTAGACAGTACAATATACCTATATAACTACTATAGGTATATCAACTGTATCGACATATACTTTTGTAATTTATTCCGGTACTAGGGCCAGGGTTGGGCAGTATCTTAGATACGATTGTATCTTGTATCTTGTATTCTTGTATCGTGATACATTTTTAGACTATGTATCGAGTATTTCACAAAATAATGTTGTCAAAAAATACTCGATACTTTAATGCGATACTTTGAAAAATTATTTTTACTCGTCTATCTACCAACCGCTACTGTTTGACTATGTTTTAGTATAATACTATAGTATTATGTGTAAAATAATATGCGAGGTGAATTTAAGTTTATAAATAAATTGCAGTACAACTTGTACGAAATGATTTTTCAACCTATTAGCCATATTAAGTTATATCTGTGTACTGTGATTATCTGTGACGCATCTACACGTTGAATGGAACTTTACGTCTTTAATATCTATAATTTATTTTTATTATTATTTATTCATGTAATTTAACAATTAACTAATTATAATATATTTATACTTGATTAATATTTGGAATTTTAAAGTTAAATGCATTTGTCTAAATTCACAACCTACCTTATTGTGTATAAATTTAATAAATAAAAAAAAAAAAAATCCTATACGTCTTAGACTATTTTTTTCAAATGTATCAAGAGTATCGAGTATCTAAATATTTAAAATGTAAGTATCGAGTATCTAGTACCTAGTATCGCGATACTGACTTTTGAGTATCTTGCCCATCCCTGACTAGGGCTGGCTAAACCCCCTAAGATCATAAATGTTTCTAGCCCTCTTTAATTTTATGAAAATACCTCAATACAATTGTTGCTATCTACTTATAAGCAGAAGGGATGGAGGACAGTAAAAAAAAAAACTACAGCTATTTTTTTAATAATAAAATTGGAAAAACTGACAAAAAACCTAAATATTTACACAAAACCAGTTTTTGACGAAAAAATTTATTTTTTTCGTTTTAACTCAAAATGTAATTAAATATTCACCAAGTACATATTTATATTAGCATATAATATAATATATTATTCTAAGTTTATTTAAAAAATATTTTGGATAATATTGATGTAAATTTTAAATGTTTTACTTTTATCAGTCTTTTTTCCAATGTATGTATGACAACTTTTTAGTTTGTGAGTAAAAAATCTAGAAAATTTAATACAAGGTTCCTTATACATTCATTTTAGATTTTGAGAGTAGTGATTTATGGTTTTATTTGTAACACAATAGGTCTATAGTAGAAAAAATATTTCGATCTTCAACTTTGATGGTGGTTATAGAAAATAGAAAATTGGATCTAGTTTTTACTTTTAGAAGTTTAAAATTGAATATTTCCAGTATTCTTCAAAATAATGAAGAAAAAAAGGAGATTCGTTCTCGACGGTATTTTTTACCATAATAGACCTAAAAAAAAAATAAAAAAATAAAAAAATGCAAGGAAGTCGTTTTCAAGTCAATTACATGATAAATTCAAATATGTTTTCAGAAATTTTATCGGATAATATGTTTTTATATTGTGATAAGCCAAAAATGAATATACTTTATAAAAAAAAAACAAGTTAAATTAATATTCGTGTAGTACGTTATTGACAAGTGCATATTAGACTGAAGGTAATAATCGAAAAACAAATGCCACACAAAAAAAGCCACTATATGTCTGAACGCGCCTCAATCATCACTTTCTGCGTACACATTACACGACCCACACACGTAATGTACATATAAAATTGCCTACATTTAACTCTTTAAAAACGGTCGGTATCAAATGTATAAACGGGAATCATTATGCAAAATCAGTTTTCAACGTTATCAATTTGGTTTTTGGTGTAACTCAAAAATAATAAACAAATAACCGTAGATACATGAAATGTATTAAAATGGATTAGAATATAGTATATGTTTAGGCGTTTAGCATTAAATATACATGATTCAATTTTTAAAATATTTTAAAGATTGTTTAGCTGTGTAATATATAATCATTATAATCACATCGACATATTTGATTATTTTAGTTTTTTTTTCTATAAATATAAATTTTGTCAAAATTCGAAATTTAAATGCTTATGCAAAAAAATTGTGCCTATGTATTTTAAATATTTTTCAACTGCTATTGTCTAGATATAAAATTAATAAATGTAACTAACTCGTATGGGTAAATAAACGATATGCCAATAAATCGATAATTTCAATAATTTACTAATGAACAAGAACATAGGTAATAATGTAATATATTATTTGAATTAGGTTTTTAATGTTACTACCTAGTAATTTACCTTTTTTGTATTAAATTTGTTAAACTTATCATCGGTCAATACGCCACGACCCGGGGTGATGTCATCTCTAGATATAACTGACCAACCATTAAAATAAATATTATAAAGTGTTATTATAGTTATTATTAATAAGTAATAACTGATAAAACTTTATAATAACTTATTATACTAGGAAAGTATAGATATTACATTTGGAATTTTTAAATCTGATTTGCGGTGCCACATAAGTTTTTATTTTTATTATTTTCAAAATCAAAAGGTGTGTGCGTCTTAATTATACGAGACTATTTTTCATACCGTCAGTAGCATGCACTTGACTTCTTTGACGGCTCCGGCGCACCCCAAAAATGACAGGAGTGACAGCAAAATGCCCGCCACGATTAATATATACACGGCACCTGTGAACAAGTTGGTGCCCAATAGCTCTTTGATGAACGACTTATCGTATAGCGTATACACTGATATGGCCACCAATACGATGCCTCCAATCTGAAAACAAATACAATTTAAATTTAAATATTTCCTATAGACTATAATCAAGTATATTAAAGTATTACATTATATATTATAATATAGATGTATAATTATTAGATTGTTTTTTTAATTTAATGAGGTGCAGTAGACAGATAGTATTATATAGGTATTTAGATATCAATATTAAAAAAAAAAATATTAATTTGTATAATAAACGCTGAAATTAATACTTTTCTAATTATGTTAATATTTAATTTCAGTTTTTTATAGAATTAAATATTTTTAATTAATTTTGGTGTAATTCAATTTTCGAGAGCTAATTCTAAATTTCATTTTTTTTTAATTACTACACAATAACGTGATATCAGAAATTATATCAATCAAAATCAAAATCAATAGGAATCTTTATTCAAATGTTTATCACTATTACAAACATTGTCTTCTTATTGTAGGTAATTTGAATTTTTATCAAAAAAATAATACATAATATTATCAAATTTAACTTTGGTCATACTTTAGAGTGTATAATAAAATACTATCCGAATGTAACACATTTATAGTTTGTTCAAAATCATTATTGTAATTTTTAACCAAAATTAATAATGAGTAACTTACAAATATGATAAAATTGGACAAAAACATGCTGTACTTGACGATTGATCCACACCACTCATCTTTAGAACCGAACCCCATTTTGGATTCCTGTTGAATTTAATAAATATAAAATCATTACACAATTATAAATATCTGTTATTGATGCAATCAAAATATATATATGACAATTAACATGACACAAATATATAAATTAGTAAATAAGTATAGGTATTCAATTAAGGAATATAATATAGTTAATTTTTGTTTGTGTACTTAGGTAGTTTAACCATACATAATTTCAATGTTTTATTTTAAAATATTATTCTCTATAATTTTTGTAATAGTTTTGTTGAACTACAATTATTATTAAAAGGCAAAAACGATTTTATGTGAGTTTCACACGGATCCGATTGTCTGAGAGACAAAACAAATATTGCGCTGGCGTACCCTTAAGAATACATTTCAGTTGTCAGATTGTCACTTGTTACAGTGGAACACATTTGGTACATGTATTATGTATTAAAATGTTTACATCGCAGTTTTTTTACTTGTAGTACTAACCTAATTCTGGTCTTTGGGTAAAATTATGACCACTAATAAATTGTTCGATCAATATATAATATTATATAAACCATAGGTAGTCATTATTTTTTTAAATATATAATTTAATAAATTGTTTGCAACTGTTTCGAATAATGACTTTCTGTTATGAGGTCAATTACCTCGGCCCCAAGGTAAAAATATATAATTGAAAATTGTTTGATATTATGTTTAGGTTCATATTTATAATTCAAATATTTACTAAACTATACTTAATAGTTTATTGGGTTCATTAAAATTAATTAACTTCCCATAATTTTAAAAGGACTAGCAACATTTATATCATTTTTCAAAATGGTAGATACAAGTGATGATCTTAAAAAAGAGGTATGGTTAATTTTTAAAGTACTAAATATTATTCGACAAGGTTACAGCGATGTATATTTAATTTTAATTTTGTTATTTGTTATACTTTTTAAAATATGATCTACATAATTTCATCTTTTACCTACCCATTTCTTGCAAAAAATATTTTTAGCTATTCATGCTTGTGGTAGGTAGGAAAAGTTTTTTCTGAAGTGTGGGTAGCTAACTTTGTAGATCGGTAAAGTTTGGTGAATTTCACTAGGTAGTAGGTAGGCACTCTCAAAAGCATTTCAACCTATGAAGTTCAGTGACTCCTTTCCATCTCAAAAATATATTTTTTGTTACGACACTGTCTACTTGTAATAACTATTTTATAGTATTATATTATAGTTAGTTAAAATTATTATTTAGGTTAAAAGTCAATGATAAAAGCGTTATGAAATAAACTCATTAACTTATGTATTTTCTAAGTACCTATATATTATACACATACGACATGCCTATACATTTTTTAGGTTTATAACAAATAGTTCATGTAATATATATATATCGTTAAGCATTAATTCAATTAATTCTTGAAACTATATGCTAACCACAGATACAATAGTAACAGTGGCATACAACACTGTACCACATTCAAGGTAAGTACTACAATATCATACCTTTTTACCTACATCGTAATCGGACGTTGATAAATGATTATTGTTGGAAATTAAGTTGGTAAGGATTTAAGTCTGGTTTACATAAAAAAATGTAGAAAATGACAAAACGACTGTGTATGAAAAGTCCATGTGCAGCTTAATTAATAACACAGCTTTCATTTGAGTGAAAATTATAATATGTATAAAATATATACCTGCCTACAGTGTAGGTATATATAAAACTTTATACATAACTATATAACCTGAGTTTCTATTCATAATAATTAATTAAAATGTAATTAGTACATAACGAGGTTTGCTTGATTATTTTTATATGAAATCAATATTTAAAGTGCATTGTGAAACAATAATTTAACTATATATTTATTAAATTGATCGTAGGAAATTCTAGTGTAAAGGATCAAATACCTAATGTATTAATGTGGGAGGACATTGAGTAAGTGATAGATAGTTTTGAAATTAAGTTAGAGAACGATTAACCATTAAAAAAATAAATCCACGGTACTCAAATTGTCTCTGGATTAACGAGGAATAATCCGGAGGCAATTTGAGTAAGTCCGTAGTATATACTTAGAGAACAGATTAAATTAACCTTTTTCGATATGATTCAAAGTTAATATTAATAATGTTTGTAATAAATGATGTGTACCTATCTCTATACACTCGAGTAAAGACGTAATTTGTGAAATTCCAAGGTTTGTCGGGTCGGCTGATTATTTGGTTTTCAAAGTTGGAAAAAAATGAAAACATGATCTACGTCAACAATAATATTATAACGTTCAGGGACATTCTTCAAGAAAGCGACGTTAGCTATTAAGTATAAAATAGTATTACAGTTCGTGCCGCGAATCGACGACTGCAATGACGAATTGACGACGACGACGGTCTTCCGCGTCACACGTTTTAACGAGATAAAGAATTACTAGACCGTTTTCATGGCCCCCTCGAGGTCTTTGAATTTATTGAAATAATTAATATTACCACCGTTCTGTATTGGTCGACGATCGTGCAATAGTAATTTACAGGGGCTAGCCTGTAAAATATAGACCAACTATGAATTTAATGATGAGAGATACACTAAAATTGCGCATCGATTAAAACATCGTCCACTTTCCGTTACCTATTTATACGATTTGATAATCCGGAAGTAGAACACAACTTCTATGGTAGATATGTAGAAATATTGGTGGATACAAGTGATGGTAGGGGTCTGAAGTACCCTCCATATAATTCAAAGATACGTCACTCGTTTATTAGTAATAGTTACATTAAGAGACATTAAAAGGAGACATAATAGTATACTTATTATAGTATCCAATACTGTATAGGTACCTAATACCTATACCTACTAATTCCTATATTTTTTTTTGGTATATGGTTTTACGGTTTATCACTTTAAATCATTACCAGTATTTAATTCATATATTAATATCACTTGTGTCTAGAAGTTGTATATTTATTTCAAGCTCCCCTCTTTTAATAACTAAATCCGCTTCTGAATAGTATAATTACTAATTAGCCACTATACTACTATAGGAATCCAATAATTACGGGCAATGTATCCTGCGCTATATTCAAAGTACCAATTAGTCTGTGGAAAACAGTTATAACAACTTTTAAGGGACCAGGAAAATTCGTCACCAGCTTCGGGGTAGAACGTAATAAAAGTATTTGAAAAGTTTTAAAAACATATAAACTAATATTTTGGTTACATTCTTTTAACATTTTTTAATTAAATTTAAATAAAAGACGAAGCGATAGATCAACTCCATTAGCTTTATTATTATTGCCTACATTATTAAATTATGCCTATCGGATTTCTGATGAATAATTATTGACTACGTTATAGGTACTTACGTGATAAAAAAAAATAATAATTACATTATATTATATAATACAGCTGTTAAATTAGTTTCGTCGTTACCTATAGCGTAATCGCTATATGTTATAAATTATAACCGTACTTATATATGACGTATTTTAACATTGAAATAGTTAAAAAATATTCGGGACTGTCATAGTTTAGTCGCATTATCACACATCAGTGCCGATGTAATAACCGATGTCGTTATGATGGATTTCACTATAGTTTATTATGTAAAGGTAAATGTATCTACGTCCTACATTAAAAAAAAATTTAAAAACAAGTCAGACATCACTTCAGTGGCGCCCGCAGGGGGGAGGCTAACGGGCTGAAGCCCCCCCCCATTGCCCGTATTATTATTACTTTTTCAAAAAAATATTAATCAAGTTTAAACTGTCAACTATAGTAAATCTCATATTTGTCTTACCAGAATGAATTCATTTTTGAAAAAACATTGTATTTGCATACCAATTTTCATAAATTATCTGTAATTTTTCTGTAAAAGTATGAACTACTCGTATGAAAGACCTTGTATTAAATTGTCTAGCCTTATATATACATATTTTATATTTTATGAGTTTTGAACTACAAATTAACCTTGGTTTTGACGAAATTTGAACTTTAAATGCTTATAAAAAATAGCCATGATGCCTATGTATTGTTAATATTTTAGCTGTAATAAAAAAAATTACGTTTTACATTTTTAAGCTTTTTGAACGGATAATTAATTTTTTATTGACATTTATAGAAGAAAAATTTTAATTAATCAAATACAATCCAAGTTAAGACGGTATAACCAAGCTTGTTACCAAACAACTTAAATAAATTTTCATTTTTTTTCTCCAATTATTTATAAAAGCACTAAGAATTTTCAATTTCTACCTCCTTAAAGTACTAACTAGATCCAATTTGCTAACAAAAACATACACTGGGCATCGAAGCTTATGATCATAGCATTTTTTCTACCAGATGAGTTGAAAAGTTACAAACATTTTAAAATACCCCAAATAAACGTATGCAATTATTAGACTGGACAAAATAAAAATTAAATTGTAATTTATTTTCAAGCCCCCCCCCCCTATTGAAAAATCCTGCGGACGCCACTGCATCACTTAATCAAATTATGTAGAATTTATAAACATTTAATATAGTTATTGGAACATCAGAACCTAGGATCGGATAGATAATAATATAGGTATGTGTTATGGTATCATTGGTATGTGTATCGTCGTATCTAATAATTGCAATTTGGTAACTACAATGGTTAGAATTATGGATCAATCCGTGTGCAGTATGCGCTTACAATTATTATTATTAAAAAGCACCACCTACTATTACTTGTTTTTGCTATAGGTAATCTCGTTACTTTTAGAAAAAATCTGATTCATTTACGTGCTCAATTTTTGTATTTGTCGAGTTCAAAACATAATCTCATAATGCATATTATATAGGTATTATTTATTATTTTTAGTTTATATACTTTATAGTCTTTAACAACGATTTAAAAAAAAATGTAATTAATTAGGTATAAGGCATAAACGTTCCACCTTCTATATAATAATTAATAGTGGGTAATCCATTTAACGAGACACTCATTGTTTAAATAACTATTAACGTTTTTAAAAATACATTTACATACAATTTTAAGTCGTTAAAAACATATTTTT